TCACGGCAGCCCAGCTCCAGATTGAGCTGTTGTTCAGCATCTTAGCTGTGGAGGGCAGTGTCACTGGCCCTCATATGTGGGATCCGAACCGGGCCCTCTGGCGTCCCAAGCCAGTTCTTAACCATCGCGCCACTTGGCCGGCCCAATTCCACTATTTTTTAATACTGTTTAGTTTTCATCTGAATATAAAAATACGTATTCACTTAGGAAACTTAGAGAATACATAAAAGTAAAATGAAAAACTAATTCATCCTTTTAAGTCTATCACCCGAATATGAGTTAACACTGTGTTGTATGTATCTTCTATACTTCTATACATACATGTGTGTACCGTTTTATTTTTTACAGTAGGATTATATTTATGTCCAATTATCTATTCTGTTTAACCAGTAATTTTAAATAAAAACAAAATAGAGCATGCAAACCTCAAATACCTGTATTTACAGTTTACATAAATGTTATACGCATGTATACACACATCCTTGTAAAGATACAGACTCAAACTTACGTATTTTTCCAAATTTTCACTTATGTCAAAGTACATATCTCCATATTACTACTAAGTTGGTTTTCAGGCCAGTCCACAAGAGCTTACTTAACTTTGAAGGTACCCAGCATAGAACAGTCATATAACGAATGATTCAGATCCTAATTATTATCTATAGCAGCACTGTCCAGTAGAAGTTTCCGCAGTGATAGATGTGTTCTGTGTCTGCGCTGCCCAAGATGGCAGCCACTAGCCTGGCTATGGAGCACTTGAAATACAGCTAGTGTGACTGATGAACTATTTTTATATAATATTTTTAAATTTAAATAGCCACATTTGGCTAGTGGCCACCATTTTAGACCACATGGATCTGTAACACTGATTATAAGGGAAAGTGTCGAATTCTAACCTGTAACCCCCAAGAGTACATTTCCCTTCAGAGCAGCAGGAGGACTGTCTCTCGTACAGACAGGAATAGAAAGTGGGGGAGGTCTTTCTCTGCTTCAGACAGCAGTGGTGGTGCCAGTGTCCTCGGGGCACATAATCTGCAGAATGGGAGTCTTCAGAGGTAGAGGGGAGGATAGAAAAAAAGTTAGTGGAAGATGAGAAGCAAAAAATAGGGATTCCTGTAAGAGAACCCTCCAGGACCCGGGCTTGCTATAGGGGTGGTTCCCAGGTCTTTTTCTTTTCCTCTGGCCCCCAGAGCTCGCCTGTCACTTCCATCAGACCAGACATCCCACTGAAGAGCACCCTGTGACTTTCCCCTCTGCTCTAATCTCTTAGGCAAGCACCAAATGTTTTCAAGATTTTCTAGGATTTTTTAACTGCTTGTGCTAATAAAGGGGAAATGAACATCAGACACTATTAAGAAAGATGCAAAAATGTCTCAAGCATCTTTGACCCAAAGGACTGAAGAGTCATCCACATTTGAAGGGAAACTGAGACCTCAGTTTGGTGGATGCTTCCTCCCCAGAGCTGGGACATGGACTTGAAGGACAGCTGAAGGACAGCCTGGGACCTTTGGGTGTGGATCGCTGAGCTGGGCCATCTGAGGCCGAGAGAGTCAGCGGAGGGTGAGGGAGCACAGGCAGCCAGGGCTTCCCTTCCCTTTAGATGCAGGTAATATTTATTATGTTGCAGTGCTCAGTAAATTATATAAATTATACCATCAGCGCTCAGTAAATTACACACCATTTGCTCAGACCTGATGCCTGGGAGTCGTTCTGTGCTCGCCCCTCACTCTCTCATCCAAATCATCAGTTCTGACTGCCCGCCTGTCCACTTCTCTCCATCCCTCTGCCCCACCTTTGTGGGCTACCTCCTCTTATCCGATGAGTGCGGTGACGTCGGGGCCTGGTCTTGCTGACTCTGCAGCCTCATCTCATCCTAAGTGCATCCCCTGCATTGTACCCCGCCCCCCCATATGCACCTACCCTCAGGCCCCCCAGCCATCATTGCCTTCTGCTTTACCACAGGCAGCACTGTCTTCCTTTAACTCACCTTCTCTTCCTGCCTGACTTACTCAGCTTCGAGGTCTCACAACAACCTGGTACAGTTGGTATTATGTCTCCCAATACTGGCCAGTAAGAGATGGACCAGGGATTTGAACTCATGTCTAGTGGTCTAGGGAAAGGAAAAAGCAGAGCGTAGAGTAGGGGTGAGGCCAGGGAGGCTGTGGCACCAGGCAGCAGCTGCTGAGGGAAGTGACGGAGAAACCCCAGGGGCATTAGCCAAGGAAGTCTGCAGAGATCTCATGACGACCCTGTTCGGGGCCATAATGAAAGAGTTTTTTTATTTGGGGAAGCAAGCATGAATTAGTGTTAATCAGAGTCTCTGAGAAGAGTAAAACATGTCATTTATTTTATTCAGATCCATGTTAAAAATGGAGATCATATGAAAGGGGCACGTATGCTTATTCGGGTGGCCAACAACATCAGCAGATTCCCATCACGTAAGTACTGAGAAGAGCCTGTGACCCACGTCTGCACGGGCACAGCATCGTGGGGTCTGAACTTCCCAGCCCTGCCAGCCACTGTCCTCGGCATGTATTAGCTCATGAATCCCACAGCCATCCCATGAAGCCGTATAACAAGTCCCTAGGACCACCCAGGTTTGCTCATTCACTAGGACTCACACAGTTAAAGGCTAAGATTCATTACAGGGCAAGGATACAAAGGAAAACTGGCAAAGAGGAAAGGCGCATGGGCCACAGTCTAGAGGAAAACAGGTGCAGGCTCCCAAGAGTCCCCTCCTGGTGGAGTGGCACAGGACACCTAACTGCCAGGAGTGAGTTGACACATGTAAAATGGTGTCTGCCAGGGGTGCCCATGAGACTCAGTGCCCAGGGGCTGTATTTGGGGCTGGTCATGTAGGTATGCCCTGCTTGGTATGTAAAATTTCCAGACTCCCAAAAAAGCAGGCGTTCAGTATAAACCACATTGTTTGTACAGTGAGTTTAGGCACAGTTATCAGTTCTGGCAATGGTGGGAATTCCTCCAAAATCCAAGTTCCCAGATGCCAGCCAAGAACCAGCCTTTCAAGCAGGTCTTACTAAGGAGAAGTCTAAAGACTGCACGTGCTGTTCTTATTTCTCCCATTTTACAGATAAGCAAATTGGGTAAAAGATGTGAAGTAACACTTGCTCAAGATCACAGTCACCTGATAAGTCTGACTCTGTGTTCTCAACCACTGCAGGCCACTGCCTCTGAAAAGTCCCATTATTCTAAAAGACATGCCATTAAAACCTCTTCAGTGAATAGGTTTTGTCACATTCTGTGACAGGGGTCAATAAATTTTTTCTGTAAAGGGTCAGATGTCATGGTTGGGGCTTTCTGGGCCATATGGTCTCTGTCACAACTATTGGACTCTGCCACTTTGGCTTGAGCCATATGTAAACAAGTGACCATGGCTGTGTTCCAACAGAACTTTATTTTTTGACACTCAAATTCGAAATGCATAATTTTCACAAAATATTTTTTACAAAATGTCCTTTTGATTTTCACAAGATCTTCACAATATAGTTTCATAGTCTTTTGATTTTTTTCAACCCTTTAAAAATGTAAAAGTCATTCTTAGCTCATGGACAATACAAAAACAGAGGGCCAGATTTGGCCCACAGTTCACCAACACCTGTTCTCTAAATGTATTCTTTTTTGTTACATGAAAAGGAAAAAAAAAAGACTTTAAAATAATTGTATACCATGCTGGGTAAGGGTGCAATGGGCCAGGCACTCGTGACTGCTGGTGGGAATGGATATTGGTATGGCCTTCCTAGAAAGCTGTTTAATGATTTGTGCTACGTGTATGTTTTAAAAGATCATGTTCTTTGAACCAGTAATTCGACTTCTGAGTATCTGTCCTAAAGAAATAGATACATGCTGAGAGGTTAGTCCATAAAGGTATTAACTTCCCTTACCCATTCATCAGCAGTCCTGTTAAATGCAAAAATGCATGTCAGAGTGTGGAAAGATACACACAAAAGGTTACCTCGAGAGGAAGACGCTGGTCCTGGGGTTACAAGGCAAAACATGGTACAATCAGGGGAAAGACCATTTGATGAGCAGTTAGCCGGACTCTGCCGCTTTGCCCTTTCCTCATTAAAGAAGTATCGGTTGTTTGCCAGAAAAAGCAGGTTTAGAGAGGTGTGATCCTGTTTTCCTCCTAACAGGACGGAGTCGTGCCGGTAGAGGCACTGTGCTTTCTGCTCCCGTTTGTTTTGCAGACATTGTGCCAATCCTGACGTCTACCGTGATCGAGTGTCACAGAGCAGGTCTGAAGAACTCCGCCTTCAGCTTTGCAGCTATGTTGATGAGGCCCGAGTACCGCAACAAAATAGATGCCAAGTACAAGAGGAGGATCGAGGCAATGGTCAGGTAGGCAGTGAGCTCCTTCGGCTCCTTAATCACGTTTCACAAATGTATTTTTCAGAATGTAGTTGCTCATGTCCCTAAGAAATTAGAAAATGGGCTGGGGGTAGCGATCAGGATTGTGTTCAGCTACCAGCAGCAGAAAATCCCACGTGGCCTGAACGAGTCAGGACTGATTGGACTCCTGCCCAAGGCTTGGTAGCCCAGGTCTGGTACCGCGGGGTCCTGCTGCTGCTAAGGGCAGATCCGTCTCCCAGCTGTGCCCTCCAGAGCATAGATGTTTCCTCCTCGGGGCTGTATAGTTCTGGTTGTCGGCCACAACTCCAGACATCACATCCCCATTCAAGGCAGGAAGAAGGGGGACATTCAAGGATGAAAAGGACTTCACCTTTTTATTTAGGAAGGATGCCACCCCCAGGAATCCATTTCCAACTCACTGGCCAGTGCTCTGCCACATGGCTAGTGTTAGCTGCAAAGCGTATCCCTGAGTGCAAGTCAAGCTCTGTTGGCAAGGAAGGATGGCTAGTAAGTAGGCAGCAAGCAGTATCTGCCACAGAGGGACCAACAGTGAGTATTTCCAAACCGTGTGGAGACACATCAAAGGCATGTCCTCACTTCAGGGAGCAGTAAATGGCCTGGTTTTCCAAAGGAAAACTTAGGACAAAGTAGCACTAGTGTTTACAGAAGGAAAAATGAATTGTGATCATGTAGTAATTCTATACTACCACTTGTTCTAAGGGGCAGTATATTTGGGTTACCTGTTAGACCCATTATGACCAGGGGACATGGTGTACCTGAATGTTGACCCGGACCTCAGCCACGGAGATGGCTGACCAGTAATGGCGACTGGAAGCAACACCACTTGATTATGAGGTGGGCATGGGACTAACCCTCCCGGCAGAGCTCTCAGCTGGATAGGGCTACATGGAACACTCCTTTTTTTTAAAGCTGAAAAGCCTACTGAGTAGCTTCAGACCAAATCAGTCTGCCAGCATACCTGCCAGCACGGAGCGAGGCGGGGAGACTGTGCTACAGCACCTTTACCCCGGCGGCTTAGTGACACACTGCCCTCCGTGCTAGCTGGGAGACGATGCTCGTCCTCTCCCCATACAAGTGCTCTGCAGCTGAGTGGGCTAAGATGGTGTCTGCTAGCCACGTCACTGTGTACATTTAATTAACATTGAATAAAATTTAAAATTTAGTTCACATTACCCACATTTCAAGTGATCAAAAGTTCCATGTGGCTCATGGCTACCGTGTTGCACAGCACAGTTAGAACACTGCCATCGTCACCAAGTTCTGTGGCCAGTGCTGATAGCTTTCCCAATTCAGTAGACAGAGGAGAAACGGCAAGCTCACCACTGCAGTGACACAGGGAGAGAGGGGATGGCCAAGACCCACCCACATTTTCTGCCATTTAATGTGCCCTGAACCCCAGCTCCCAAACATGGCCCATGTGGTACTACAATCTAACCAGTCCTGGTCCCTGAGCGGGAGGGTGGGCTGATGGTGAGCTTATAAGCATCTCTAGTCTCAGAGTCTATGAAGTAGGTGTGTTTCACATTCCTGGTTTTCCAAAGATGCCTTTCCTCTGCTATCCATGTTACACAGAAAATCAAGTGTTTTTATGTGATTCTTCCTCACAGGAGACCCGATACATCTGAGACAGAAGAGGCCACAACCCCATGTCCATTCTGTGACTTTCTTCTTCCGGAATATGAGCTCCTCTGTCCTGGATGTAAAAATAACATCCCATATTGCATTGCAACAGTAAGCTTCTTTATAATTATTGCCCTTTCTTTGCCTATTTATAACCCATTTGAATACATGATGTGTCAATTTTTTTTTCACTTCTGAAGTCATTCAAATTTCCTACAACTTTTAGCATGTAATTTTATGGTCAACAGAGTTGAAAGTTATATTCAGAGCATGTAATAGTCTAAGTGAGTATCTAGAGGACACTGCGGGGCAATATAGCACACTTGGGGATCAGACGGTCCCGGGCTTAAATCCATTTTTCTGCCACTTACTGGCTTTATAACCTGGTGCAATTTAGATCATGATTTCACAAAATTGAAGACTATTCTTTTATACATGAATTTGACATAAAAAATCTGGCTTTAGTCCTTTTGATGCCATCTTTTTCTCATCAATTACCCACCTATGTGAACTATCAATAATTTCATAATTTAGAGGGCTGGCTTTTAACTATACTCCAATTATTGACTAATGGTAGGAGTTTTTAAAATAAAGATGACTTTTACTCTTAAATGTACTGTTTCTAGGGTCGACATATGTTGAAGGATGATTGGACTGTGTGTCCACATTGCGACTTCCCTGCTCTGTACTCAGAATTCGAGATGTAAGTGTGTATCGTTTCACTTACACAGGTCATATAGATAATCCAAAAACAGGGCTTTCATTCAGCCACTCTTATCCTGAAATCTCATTTGTTCATGTTCCTAAAGATCTATCAAGATTCAGATTGTCTTAGAAGAACCTTCTATGACCTTTGAAAACACTGTTCTTACAGAGGACCTTGCATGAGACTGAATATTCCCAATTCTTTAATTGCATGATGAACATGTACTACGAGGTGTAGACAGGAATAGTTTTTCATATTAGAATCACCCAAAGGAAAGGAACTATTATATACTCAATCTACTCTGCCTTTCTCTCCCCAAACAGCCTGTTAAACACTGCAAGCACATGTCCTATGTGTTCAGAAAAATTAAACTCTGCTCAACTGAAAAAAATCTCAGACTGTACCCAGTACCTGCGCACAGAGGTGGAGCAGTGAGTGGAACGTGCAGGTAAGTGCCAGACCATCCGATCACCTCCCCAGGGCACAGAGCGCACAGCTTTACAGTTTATATTCACAATGGGCTCCTTTTAGTGCATCATGGCACTTTGTCGGATTTGAACAATCTAATAAAACCTTTTTTTTTTTTTTAATGCTAAAATGCCGGTTATGCAGTCTCCATAGTGACAAAGATTATTTGGCCAAGTAGCATCATGGATTCTGAGTAGACTGTATTTTGTCATGAAATGTTTGGTAGAATTCACCAGTGAAGCCATCTGGTCCTGGACTTTTGTTTGACAGATTTTTGATTACTGATTCAATTGCCTAATAATTGGTCTATTCAGATTTTCTGTTTCTTCATGATTCAGTTTTGGTAGGTTGTATATTTCTAGGAATGACTCCATTTCTTCTAGGTTGTCCCAATGTTGACATTTAATTGTTCATAGTAGTCTCTTAAGGTACTTTGTATTCCTGTGGTATCAGCTGTAATGTCTTTCCTTTGACTTCTGATTTTGAGTCCTCTCTTTTTCTTGGTGAGTCTAGCTAAAAATTTGTCTATTTTATTTAGAAAAAAGCAGCTCTTGGTTTCATTTACCTTTTTTAGTCTCATTTATTTCTGCTCTGGTCTTTATTTCCTTCCTTCTAACTTTGGACTTGGCTTTTTCTCCTTTTTCTAGTAACTTGAGGTGTAAAGTTAGGTTGTTTGAGATCTTGTTTCTTAATGTAGGCAAGAGCAGTTCTAAGGGAAAATCCTAGTGATAAATGCCTACATAAGTTTTAGTATGTTGTGTTTCCATTTTCATTTGTCTCAAGGTATTTATTTCTCTGATTTCTTCTTTGACCTATTGGTTCCTTCAGTGGCATGGTGTTGAGTCATATTTGTAATTTTCCAATTTTCTTCTTGTAACTGATTTCTAGTTTCATACTGTTGTGGTCAGGAAAGATGCTTGATGTGATTTCAGTCTTCTTAAACTTGGTAAGGATGTTTTGTGGTCTAATCTATGATCCATGCTAGAGAATGGTCCGTGTGTGACTGAGTATTCTGCTCCTTTATGGACTGTTCTCTAAATGTTGTGTCCATCTGGTCCAATGTGTCATTTAACTCCAGTGTTTTCTCATTTTCTGTCTGGATGGTCTATCCATTGCTGACAGTGGGGTATTGAAGGTTCTCTATTATTGTATTGCTGTTTCTCCTTTTGGGTCTGTTAATATTTGCTTTATATAATACATGCTCCTATGTTGGGTACATAAATATTTATAAATGTTATATCCTCTGATGGATTCACCCCTTTATCACATAATGACCTGCTTTGTCTCATGTTATGGTCTTTGTTTTAAAGTATTTTGTCTGATATAAATACAGCTACTCCAGCTTTCTTTTGGTTTCTACTACCATGGAATATCTTTTTCCATTCCTTCACTTTCAGTCTGTATGTGTCCTTAAAGCTGAGTGAATCTCTTATAGGCAGCATATAGTTGGATACTGTTTTCTTATCCATTCGGCTACTCTGCTTTTGATCATAGAATTTAGTCCATTTAAAGTAATAATTGCTATGTATGGACTTACTGCTAGTTTGTTTTCTGGCTGTTCTGTAATTCCTTTTTTCTCTTGCTCTCTTCTTTTGTGATTTGATGATTTCTCTAGTGGTATCCTTAGATTCCTTTCTCTTTATCTTTTGTGTCATCTACTATACTATAGGTTTTTGCTTTGTGGATACCATGAGGTTTACATGAACCATAAGTCTATTTTAAGTTAATAAGAACTTAAGTGCAAATGCATTCTAAAGCTCTACATTTTGTTTCCTTTCCAACACATACTTTTTTTTTTTGGTTGTCACGATTTACATCTTTTTTATCTTGTGGTGTATCCATTAACAAACTATTGTTAGTTATTTTTACTATTTTTGTCTTTTAACCTTCATACTAGATCTGTAAGTGATCAACCCACCACCATCACATTAGGTTATTCTGCATTTATATATTTACCTCTCCCATTGCAATTTACACTTTCATGTTTTCCTGTTATTAGTGCCCTATCATTTTGGCTTAAAGAAGTTGTCTTAACATGTAAGGCTGGTCTAGTGGTTATGAACTCCTTTAGCTTTTCCTTGTGTGGAAGATTCTTCCCTCTATTTCTGAAGAACGGCTTTGCTAAGTATTCTTGGTTGGCATTTTCTTTTCTTTCAGCACTTTGAATTTATCGTGCCACTTCTTCGGCCTGAAAAGTTTCCCTGAAAAATCTGTTAAGTCTTACATACTTATGTGGAATCTCTCGTATTTAACAAGTTGTTTTTCTTTTGCTTCTTTTAATAGTCTCTGTCTTTGACTTTTGGCAATTCAATTATAATGTGTCTTGGTGTGGGTCTCTTTCCGTTCATCTTATTTGGAACTCTCTGGCTTCCTGGATCTGGATGTCTTGTTACCTTCCCAGGTTAGGGAAGTTTTCAGCCATTATTTATTCAAATAAGATTTGTGCCCTTCTTTCTTTCTTCTCCTTTGGGACCCCTATAATGCAAATATTGGTCTGCTTGATGTTGTCCCCTAAGTTCATTAAGCTGTAATCATTCTATTTCTGCTCTGATTGGATGAGTTCCACTGCCCTGTCTTTGAGTTTGCTGATCCTTTCTTCTGTGTCATTTAGTCTTCTATTGAACCCCTCTATTACATTTTTCAGTTACATTCTTCAGCTCTGTCATTTGTTTGGTACTTTCTTATATTTTGTCTCTTTATTGAAATCCCCCCTTTGTTTATACATTGTTCTCCTGACCAGGGTGAGCATCTTTATGACAATTAATTTGAACTCTTTATCAAATAAATCACTTATCTCCATTTTCTTAAGTTATTTTTCTGACGTTTTATCTTGTTTTTTCATTTGATACACCCTTTGTTTCATTTTCCTTGACTGTGTTGGTGTCTATGCATTAGATAAAAACAGCCGTTCCCAGTCTTGGAGTGGTCTCTTGTAGGGAATGAGCCTTATTCAGCCCTGCCCTATATCTTGGTCATCTCTCAAACCTTTGTGATTTTCCTAAGTAGCCTTCTTTGTTTTTGAGGCTCTCAGTAGGGACCTGTCAGTGTCCCAAATAGGAGGATCTCAGTCAGCACCTAAATGCAGGCTGATTGAAAGCTGGACCCTCAGGCCACAGCTATTAAGCTAAGCAAACAGACCTCCATGAAAGACTAGGCTTGTGTCTGCTGCCTCTGTGTTGAGCCCTTGGAGGGAGGGCAGATTCCAAACACCTTCCATTACAATCCAGGGGGACCAATGAAAATAAGCCCTGAATTTAAAAGGTGTCCCCCTGGAAAATGGCAGCAAAAACTAGAGCACCAGAGTTGTACATGAAGCTCCTTTCTGGGAGATACCAGCGTCCTTGGAGGAGGCAGAGGGAGAGTATGAAGATGGTGCCTGCTAGCCTCTGCAGACTCTGGAAGAGAACTTCCTTTGGCCCCCAGATGTATGTTAAATTGCAAGCCTGTTTCTCAGGCTGTCACTTTTAAGATAAACAAACAGGCCTTTTTCACAGACTGACTGGAGGCATTTCAGCTTGTTGCCTCTGTGCTGGACCCTGGGGAATTAGCCAAGGTGGGTCCATGTAATCCCATTGAGAACTGTTTCTTTGTTGTAGGTCTTGTGGATACAAGGCCAGTTGACTTTCAAAGCTAGATGTTTGGGGGCCCATCTCTCCGGTGGAAGTCTTAAAACTCGGGGTGCTGGCTGTAGGGTCCAAAACCTTTTGTTCCCCAGGGAGAAACTGGGAGTTGTGTGCCAGGGGTGGGGTTTATGGAGAGATTGTCTCAGACTTTTCTGCCCATTTCAATATGAGTTTTTTTCTCATTTACCTGATGTGTAGGTGTCATTTGGCTAGATCCTCCATTTCTTTCAGAGGAAATTGTTTCATATGTATTGTAGATTAGCTGTGTCTGTGGGAGAAGGTAGTTTAGGAGCCTCCTATGTTGCCATCTTGAACCAGAATGTATCTTCATTCACAATTTCTCTGGGTCAGTAGTGTAAGCATTGGTTTAGTGGGTCTTCTGTTCAGGGTCTCACAAGGCTGGAGTCTGAGCTGCAATTTCATCTGAGGCTCAAATTCTTCAGCCTATTTGTTGCTAGAATTCTAGTCTTTATGGTCAGAGAACTGAGGCTCTAAGCAGCTAGAGGCAGCCCTCAGTTTCTTGATACATGATGCACCCTACAACATGGACTGTGCTTCTTCACGTGCAGCATAGAAGAGTCTCCTCCAAGGCTCTGACGTTCAAGGCTTTCCATGGAGCTTATATGCAGATTTTGGGACAATCTCCTTTCCAGGATATTCTTTCACGTTTCAGTTCTGGCAGTCCCAAACTCTGTTCTGACTCTTCAAGTTAGTAAGACTATGATTTCACTGTTTTAAGTTCTCCAGTAGCACTCGATACTTCATGGATCTGCCTTCAGGTTAAAAGCCATACAAAAATCTTACCCAGTAGAGTTCTTTTCATTCAAGAGTTGACACCTTTCTAATTTCTACTTGCTCTTGGTTGCTCTAGTTAGTTATAAATTGAGGAAAGAATATATTACCTGTGGGAGGATTAATTTGCAATTCTGCCACTTCCAAAAGTAGAACTTTGTGTTTTAAATAATTCTACATAGACTCTTGGAGTTTACCTCTGCGATAAGTAGCCTTAGACCATGGTATCATAGCAACTTGCAGATATGCCTCCGTGAGTTATGATTTTACACCTTTTGCAAAAGTCACTATAAGTATTTTATCATGTAATGAATATTGGTTGAAACTACTGTTTACTGACTCCTTTTAGACAAGGAACCCTTAACAAGCATTTAGTTTCAGGAAAGTTTTTTCTCTATAGATTGTTGAGCACTTACCTTGTATTTTCTCATTCTTCCCAATAAGATGGCTATTATCATCCTCACTTTATGGTGGAGGTTCAACAGCTTAGCTTGCCCACAGTTTTAGTCAGTTGCAAGGTCAAGACTGAATGAAACTCAATGCTGACTACAAACTGAAGATTTCTAACTTGAATGTAGTGTTCCAGCTCCCCAGTACAGAAATGAGCAAAAATTTCTTTGTATACTTGGTTTTATTACTAAATGACAGTTGTTACTTGAAAACCTTCTCTAAAGGAATGTGGGTTTTTTTGTTTTTGCTTTTTTTTTTTTTTTAAATCCTCTCTAGATATGATGTTCCTGACAATATAGCATTTTTCCACAGGAGGCTGTTTTTAGCGCTGGTGGATTTAGAGATGGTCCCTCCTGGATACAGAAAAAAACACAAAGGTGACCTTTCCAGCTCTCCACTTTCAACTTCTGTAGAGTGACAAAATGGTAACCATTGCTGTTTGTTACACTTCGTATATTTTCTCTTCAAAGTCTTACATATTATATGCTTTGCACTGTTAATAGTAACCTATGACATATTTTGAAATACCTCCTTTAAAATAAAATTGTTAACTAGATATTTGTTATGTTTTTCTGGAGACAGAAAGGAAGGTAGCTTTGAAGCACATTGTGAAGTTTGGGCAGCACAGATGTTAAGTGTTGAAAGTTTGAAATCAGAAGTGTATACAAATCAAGGCTACACAGCAGTATCAGTCCTAGAACAAATACCAGAAATCACTAGATAATCAAATATTTGAAAGAATGAAACTATAAGCTTATAGTCATCATATAGTCCTGAGTCATTCATTACATTGCATACTGTGGAATCCCTGTCACAAAATTAAATCATTTGACTTCCCCTGAAGATATACATTATTTAGAATCTTCCCCAAGATGGCTGGAGTGTTCCTTCCCCATATTAAACATCCCCCATGCATCTCATACACAACATCCTTTTCCTACATCGTTATATGCTTCCTTGCCATCCAAGGCCCATGTTACCAAAGTCTGAGCAGCTACCAGAAATGAGGGATGTAGCCTAACTTTGAATGTATCAGATGATAGGATTTTACAGTATGGCCACCAGCATCCTGAGCACTAGATAGAGTACCTAGAAGCCGAGGGTAGACTCCAAAATGCCAATAATGTGTGTCCACATGCACGATGCCTCGGCCTTACAAAGGGATACAAGTCATTATCATTAAACTCACCCACAAGCCCTTTTTTTCACTGTAGGCATGTTACAAGGATATAGGAATAGGAGCCACAGGTACTTGTGATCTGTGATGGTAGTTACAGCCTTAGACGTTCACTCCTGTGCATAACTGTACCAGAACTTATTTATATTCCTTGTTAATGAATTGCCAAAACTTAACAAGATTAAGGATATCATGAAGTAGCTTGTTATACATTATAAAATGGCCAAGATTCAATGGATCTCAAAAAAAAATAAAAATAAAAAAGCAAGTATGCAGTTTTATGATATGTGGTGGCTCCAACAGATTCAACCCCAACACAGATCCTTTAGATTCATATCCAAACTGCTGTGGAACCACCAACTCCTACCTAACATTAACCTCAGCCATACACCTCATCGCCACGAGGGCCTCTGAGAGGAAGCAAATAGACCCAAGTTGTCATCCTCATTTTAAAGAGCACATTTATAGTCTCTGTTTCTAAAAGATTTTATCTTATATGCAAATTATGCCAATCATGTTGTGTAGAACATTTACAATTAAAATCATAGTGAACGAGTAAAGGACACAAATCAATTGTCCTGGCTACAGGGATAGGGTAGTCCCTTTAATGGGGTGTACAGAGCAAGTAGGCAGACCTGACTTGCATATCCAAAAGCAATAGGGATGGAAGAAAATGCATCAGAAACTCATGCTCACCCCACTATTCAGGTGAGGCAGTCCTCACCCAAGGAAATCTTCACTGAAGCAGACATTCAAGCTGGGCTTTAACAAACAGAGGGTCCTGGCTCAACAGGCAAAGGCTGCGGGCAATGTTTGGTTCCCATAGTGAACTTCCATCTACATGAAAGACATTTTCATGTGGTAAATACACTTAAATGTCTTAAAAACTTTGTCTCACCTCTGAAACAAGACTCTCAGTTCCTTAGAGGTAGGGAGTAGTATCCTGATTTTACATTCCTTTTAGCACAAACCTCAGAGCATTTACTGACAAGATTAAAAAATAGCTAAATACCTACATTCCAGGCTAGCTCCACAGCCTCAGGGCCACTCAACCAGTACAGATACAATCTAAGGTCCCAGGTTTGTGGAATCTGTCACAGGACAGAACCGGATCTCCCAGGGACAAAGTAAACAAAAGCCAGTGTTCACTTGTCCCAAGCCAGAGTGAGGCTGAGAGCCTGACCTAGCTGAGGCCCTACTGGAAGGACAAGAATGTCTGGAAATCCTCTGCATACCCTGTGGAAGAGGCCTCACCATGGGCTTCTAGCACAGCACTCACAACTGTAATGAATTTGGAATTCAATAATGCAATTCAAGTTCTGACTCTTCAACTGCCACAGTTATGTTTCACACAACTGGTTAGTAAGTAAAATTAATGTTTTTTATCTAATCGTTTGCAAATTAATAACATACCAACATAATATTTTACTGTACAAGATGAGAGTCTTTAAAAATTTTTACATGTAGCATGTGGAACATTTTTATTCCTAATTTATATTTTGCAAGATATCTGACAATGTGCAAAGAATACCCAGTTCTAGGTGGTGATTGTTTTTTGTATATGATTTATTTACAAAATTTCACCACATAGTAATAGTAACTACCTTTAAAAAAAAAATCAGTTATTGGTCCTATAAAGGACATTAGGATAAATTGTTACGCTTACAAAAGTTGCCTTAATGCTACCATTCTCAGGCATATCATTGTTAAATAAAATCTGATTCCAAAGCCCACATGTAGTTAGTTTCTAGTCTGATTATACAAAGTCATTTTGAAGCACAATCTGATTAGATTGACAGGGGACAGTGGAGGACTCAAGCAGTCCTATCAACCTCTATAAGAGGTGTACATTAGCCTACTGGTTACATCCTTCTAGCTGTACCACCATTTATTTATAATGGGACCACTCGGTCGCCCCATTATACTACAACATGGTTCCTTTGGGAAGAAAAAAGGCATTCTCAAGACCAGCTAGACTGGTCAGCAGGGTGAGTAGAAAGTGACTGTCAGTACTGAAAAATGATTTCATTTCTTTGAACTTTTTCCTTTTCCTTTTCTGGACTCCGTATCTTTTTCAGATTTTGAAGGCTTTGAAGATTTCATCTTTTTCTGTTGGGAGGGAAAGATGCACAAAATAGTTAATAACTGTGTTTTTGAGTACACGAGATAGGTTCATCTCCACAACAAATCAAATCTTTACCTACAACTTAATAAAGAAGAAAGGTTGCAAGCACCAGATCTTGAACTACTGCTCCCCGCAATGAGTTTACTTTTTAAAGAAGCAATTGGGCTAGTTGTTGCCTTTAAAAGATAACAGTAAAAACTGAAAAGCTATTTAGAATCTAGAACTAAGATATATTCCTTATGAATGGAATTTCTTGGATTTAGAACATAGGTATATTTAGGAGAGACAAAATAAGCAAAAGATAATTCATAAGTAAGGTAATGTTTTCATGAAAATTTTCCTTTCAGTTTTAGAGTCTAAACACGTTCAGTTTGAGGAGGAGAGGAAAGGAGACAACCTCTTACGTCTACACAGGACTAGATACAGAGAGCTACACTGGTGAAGGTGTTCCTCCCCCAGCATATACAAATCAGAAACCTGGAGGGAGGGGGGCACAGCAAGAATGGTGCCCTCACGACAGAGGACGGCACAGACTACATGCCTTGCCTCAGCCAATGGAAAGCAGTGGGCTGGTGCCATAGACGATTTTAATCTGTCCTAGCAAAAGACAGGATGTTTTGCTCGGAGATACATCTACAGGCAGTTCAAAACACAAATAACAGAAAGGAGAAATGGTTTCACTGAAAATGCTTTTCTTGATTGTGCTGTGAAAATGTGTGTTTGAGTAAAGCATACACCAATGAGCAAGTTAAAAAAAAAAATTGTACTTTTTCTAACAGAGCATATGATGACTGATTTTTCTTGCTATTTGGCTCTTCTGTTATAAGAAGCTGACTGTTTATAAAAATGAAATCTATACCTTCTCCACCCTCAACTATGATAAACAAAAAAAAAATACTTTCACAGCCAAACTCTACTTGCTAAACAGGCCCTGAATAATTTCTGAAGGCATGTTATACACAAGAAAACAAATTATTTGGAGGAAGTATCGTAACTTCTCTCTGTAGCTTAAAATACTACCTTGATCATAGTATCAGTTTCCATAGCGTCTTGATCTTTCTCATCAGATTGAGAATCATCTTCATTTAACTCTTCATTATATTCATAATCCAGTGCTGGGCCTGTGCTGTGTCTGGATGTCTTTACTGTCTGAAGTGAATATGGAGTAAGGTGGACTTCCTTATTGTAAGCTCTTGTAAAGGCTGCTTTCACCTAAAGGAAATAGGGTTTTTTTAAAAAAAGTAAGTGCCAAATAATCCTTTTGAACTCTGTAGGCCTAAAGGCTTTGAAAGACTCTGGAAGCCTCTTGAAACCGTTTGCAAAATATTTATGCATATACATGTAAAAATATATATATATATATATATATATATATATATAAATAAATAAAATATATATATGTAAAAACATATCTATAAAATATATATAAAATGAAGTGTGATCAAATAGTGAATGTTTAAATAAAAAAATTTATTATAGTAAAAGACACATTGCTATTAACCCCCCCACACACACACACTTCAAAGATACTTATCCCACCGTGTTTGCCATTTTCTGAAGCAGTTCTGGAAGTCCTCTGTTGTCAGTGTCTTTAGTTGTGCTATCGTGGCTGCCTTGATGTCCTGAATCATTTTGACTTTGGACAAAAGCCAGAAGTTTCATGGTGCCAGATCCAGTGAATAAGGTGGATGATGACACACCGTATGTTTTTATTTGACAGAAATGTCCTTGTACTAGAAGTGATGTGTGACATGGAGTGTTGTCATGATGGAGGATGATTTGCAGCACACTTTAAAACACACCTTCTCTCAACCGTAGCTCACACCCGACTGACTGCACTGAACAAGTTACTAAGGTTCAACACGCTGCTTCCCATATTGAAGATCCCTGCCTTTCCATTGGATGGCACTCGGCAGGGGCATTCACTGTAGTTTGTGATCACAATGGAAAGGCTCTGTGTCACACATTGCTTCTGGTATGGCAACTTCTGTCAAATAAAAACATTACTTTGTGTCATCCACCTTATTCACTGGACCTGTGCCGTGCAACTTCTGGTTCTTCCCCAAAGTCAAAATGACCATGAAAGTTAAACATTTTGAATCAATTCAGGACATCAAGGCAGCCACGACAGCACAACTAAAGACATCATGAAAGAGGACTTCCAAAACTGCTTCAGAAAGTGGCAAGAATGATAGGATGTGTGTTTGAAGAGAGGGGGAATATTTTGAGGGGGATTAATGGTGATGTCTCTCTT